ACTCAGTAAGTGATGCCCAGTTTTAGATTCCTCAATTATTCCTCCTATTCCTTTACGTCGTTCTGCTCGTATATTTAGACCACCTGACCGCTATGGTTTTCCTTCAAACCATAGCTCCTTCTCTGCTGTTTTGACCTCTACAGATATTCCCCGTTCTTACCAGCAAGCAAGTAGCAGCTCTCAGTGGCAAGAAGCCATGGATGCAGAGATTCAAGCTTTGCATGAGAATGACATCTGGGTCCTTGTCCCAACACCTCTAGATGGCTTTATTATTGTGAGCAAATGGGTCTATTCCATCAAGCTGAAATCTGAAGGGTCTTTGGACCATTACAAAGCCAGGCTTGTGGCACAGGGATATAAGCAGGAGTATGGCATTGACTATGAAGAGACTTTCGCTCCAGTAGCCAAGGTTACTACAGTTCGTGTTCTTTTAGCCCTCTTTGTTGCTCACTCTTGGACAATCTTTCAACTGGATGTGAAAAAATGCCTTTTTACACGGGCATCTCAAGGAAACAGTATATATGAAACCTCCTCCAGGGTACTGTAGTGATCCCTCCCTCATTTGTCGACTAAAGAAGTCCCTCTATGGGCTCAAACAAGCCCCTCGAGCTTGGTTTGAAAAATTCAGAGATATTGTCGTGCAAGCCGGATATAGCCAAAGTGCATCGGATGACCATCTCTAAAGACCCCAGGGCCTTACCATTCTATTATTGTATGTGGATGACATACTATTGACTGAGATGATATAGAAGGAACCCAGGACCTCAAGTCTCTTTTCCATAGTTCCTTCCACATGATGGATCTCGGCCCTCTTAACTATTTCTTAGGACTTGATGTCCAACAGAGCTCCCGAGGTTATTTTGTCTGCCAACACAAGTATGCCTCTAATCTTGTTAAGTTGGCCAACCTCAGCGATAATAAACAGGTTGATACTCCCTTGGAGTTGAATGTCAAATTATCCAAATCAGAAGGCTCCCTGCTTCCTGATGCTTCCCTCTATCGACAACTTGTAGGGTCTCTCATCTATCTGACCATGACTCAGCCTAACATCTGACATGCAGTTCAAGTTGTTAGTCAGTTTGTCTCTACACCTCGTCAACCTCATTTGACTGTGGTGCATCAAATCATCCGCTATATTCGAGGTTCTTTATCACAGGGTCTTTTCTTCTCTTCATCTTCTTCTCTCCAACTAAAGGCCTATGCTGATGCAAATTGGGCTGGATGCCCCGACACATGACCCTCCACTACCAGGTGGTGTGTCTTCATGGGTGACTCTAATATCATGGAAGTGCAAGAAACAACAAACTGTTTCCAAGTCCTCTACAGAAGCAGAGTATAAGGCAATGTCATTTGTTTGTAGTGAAATTGTTTGGCTTCAATCTTTATTTCAGGAGTTAGGACATTCCTCTCCTACGCCCATTCCTCTGTATGCGGATAACACTAGTGCTATTAAAATTGCTTCTAATCCTGTCTTTCATGAAAGGACAAAGCATATTGAGGTGGACTGCCACTTTATCCGTGATCTGCTTCTTGCAAACTCTATCTCTCTCCCTCATGTTACCTCTAATACACAAGTTGCTGACATCTTCACAAAGGCCATGACGAGATCCAAACACTTATTTCTAGTAAGCAAACTAATGCTAATGCCTCTGCATCAGTTTGAGGGGGAGTGTGAAGAAACTCCCTGATGTACCATTTTATTGTAGTCCTTATTGTATTGTTTTCTTATTTATTATTATTTTCACTTCATCCCTACAAGGGCCTCTTTGTAATTTTTGTAGTTTCACTTTCTATATAAAGGACCCTTGGGGTAGGGTCGTATCATCCATTCTTCATCCTCAGAATTTTGTATTCTACTCTGGGTCTGTTGACACTGCCCCCCCCCCCCTTCCTACCGGTTCAAATCATCCTAGTAAAGTGATACTCCTCTTGTTTTAGATAATCCTCTTACTTTTGTTCTTCTTCGTCAGTCTACTCCATTTCTAAACCTCCTGACCACCATGGTTTTCCTTCAAACCATAGTTCCTTTTCTGCAGTCCTATCCTCTACAAATATTCCTCGAGCCTACCAACAAGCTAGAAGCAGTCCTCATTGGAAAGCARCTATGGATGCAAGATCAATGCCTTACACGAGAATGGCAGTTGGATCTTGTCCCTGCACCCTTAGATGCTTCTGTTATTGGGAGTCAATGGGTCTACACTATAAAATTGAAATATGATGGCTCTTAAGAAAAATATAAGGCTCACCTTGTTGCCCAAGGGTTCACATAAGAATATGGTTTAGATTATGAAGAGACATTTGCCCTAGTTGCTAAGATTACTGCAAGTTGTGTTCTTCTAGCTCTATCAACTGTACACTCTTGGTCTATTCATCAGTTGGATGTGAAGAATGCCTTTCTTCATGGCCAGCTCAAGGAGATAATGTATATGAAACCTCCTCCAGGGTACTATAGTGATCCCTTGCTTGTTTGCAAATAGAAGTCTCTCTATGGTTTGAAACAGGCTCCTTGGGCCTGGTTTGAGAAATTCTATGATGTTGTTGCTGCAAGCTATAGCCAAAGTTCCTCTAACTATTCTCTATTTGTTTGTAGAAGATCTCAAGGCATCACAATCCTCCTTCTGTATGTTAATGGTATGTTGTTGACAGGGGACGATGATGAGGGAATTAGAGAACTTAAATCCCTACTTCATAGTTCATTGAATATGAAGGATTTGGGTGCCCTCACCTACTTCCTACTTCCTAGGACTTTGAGGTTCAACGAAGTGATCGCGGATGCTTCATCCATCAACAAAAGTATGCATCTGATCTTATTAAGTTGGCTGATCTCACTAATGACAAGCAAGTTGATACTCACTAGGAATTGAATGTCAAGTTATCCAAAATAGAGGGTCCATTACTTCTTGATGCCACACTCAATCGACAACTTGTGGGTTCTTTCATTTATCTTATGATGACTAGTCCTAACATCTCCCATGCGGTTTAGATTCAATTTGTTTTTGCCCCTTGTCAACCTCATTTAACTATTGCTCATCGGATTATTYGATATATTCGTGGCATGTTATCCCAGGGCCTATTCTTTTCAGCCTCCTCTTTTATTCAGTTGTGGGCCTATGCTGATGCTAATTGGGTAGGTTGCCCCRACACCATACGCTCTACTACAGGTTGGTGCATCTTCATGGGTAATTTCCTTATTTCCTGGAAATGCAAGAAACAATAGTCTCCAAGTCCTCTACAAAAGCTATGTCATCTGTCTGTAGTGAAATTGTTTGGCTACAATACCTCTTTGATGATCTTGGTGTCCATCTTCCAACTCCGATTACTCTTTATGCTGACAACACCAGTGCTATCAAGATTGTCTCRTTTTTCATGAGAGGACTAAACACATTGAGGTGGATTATCACTTTATCCGAGACATGTTTCTTGATGGATCTATTTCTCTTC